GATCACCGGACAGTCCGGACCGGTCCAGACACGAGTCCGGAAGTGTCCGGTGTCCGGGTCCGCAGTTACCATGGTAAAAAGTTACGAAAACTTCTAAAAGTAGTAAAAACTCTTTTATTACCCAAGCCGAGGGCAAGAAACATGAATTTTTGGACGCAGATTTGACAGATGTTTCGTAAGTTTAGCTCAATGGAAAAGTTGGCGGTGTCGTGTCTGAAGACTCTGAACTGATGGCGTCCTGCCCTTTTACGTGCACTTTTTATTTCTTTTTCTTTTTCTTTAAATTCTTTTACCTTTTTTTTTTTTTTTTAAACAGAGCAGGTGGCTGTTTTGGTGGTGGTGGTTTTCAGGTGGCCAATCTGCATTCCTTTCCGCCAGAGTTCAAGTTCCCACCACACATTGACTTGAAGCAGAGGTAAATTTAATCAATGGACCTAAGGTTACCGTCCAAGGCCTCTTTCAACCCCTCCTTCCTCATCCATAGAACCCCCTGCTGCTTGAAGCCCCCTGCTGCTTGAAGCCCCCTGCTGCTTGAAGCCCCCGTGCTTGAAGCCCGCCCTTCTGTTGTTAGAGAGACGTCATGAGTAGGATGCTTGCTATCTAGGATATAGATCGGCGGCGTTGTTATCGACCGTCGTTGTCGAATACTATGCGGGACAACGTGTGTACTATGTAGGATGGTAAGAGTATGTAGTATGTAGTATGTAGTATGTAAGTGTGGCTGTCCTCATAGTAAGCTACATGCCATGTAGATGCTAAGGATTATTCCCTCGAGGCGGAGTAAACTAGGGGATTGTGTATGGAAGCAGCCAAACGACTGCTTAGTTAGTTTCACACGATCGACCAACCGAGCGCGGACGGGTTCGTAGTGCTCAAGTACTATGTACGCTAGGGAGGACTGTTGTCCTCGTACTCATAGTAAGCTATGTACTCATAGCACACTCGTGGTAAGAGCTCGTACTCATAGTAGGCTATGTCCCAAACTATGTGGAATAGGTACGTACTACGTACCCAGCAGGCGCACTCTGGGGTGGAAGTCTCTGTTCATCCTTCAGGTCTGACTAGAATTCCATCTGTATTCGTAGATACACAGAAGTGTACGTACGACCTACAGAGTGCGAATGCTGAGTACGTAATCCACATAGTACCCACCCCACAGTGCGAATGCTGAGTACGTATTCCACATACTTTAGGACATAGCTTACTAGTAGGACACTGCTACATCTCTATTCGTAGATACAGGAAAGTGTACGACCTACAGGAACAGAACAGGTCACATTCAAGTATAGTCGAGGAATAGGCACTATGTAGGCTACTAGTAGCGAGGATTATTGTCCTCGTTGTCATCGTAAGCAGCTATAGTACTAATTTACTACTAAACCATCACAAGGCCATTATGTACTAAGTAGAGTGGACGAGTGGTAAGGAATCATATGCCTGAAATGTGTATATCGTTCCCAGAATTGTTGCTTGAAGTGTTCCCAGAAAACCCCTTCTTCCCCCAGGTGCCTCAAAACTTATGCTGGAAACATGCCAACAGTCAAACAAGCTTGGTCATGTTTGTGGAGGGCTGTCATCTCCAGCAATGTCCCGATAGCACTGGCATCAGAAAGAAAAGGAAAGAGAGGAAAGGAAAGGAAATGAAATGAAATGAAAGGAAAGGAAAGGAACTAGACGAAGCGTACAGTGTAGCATTGTTGCAACTTTTCTGACTTGTCGGTGGAATAGGAACTGGACTGCGGTGTCCTTCGGGACATCCGTTGAATCTCAAACCTGTAACGATACAGAGAAAGAGAAGATTATTAGCATGGCCCCTGCGCAAGTAAGGAAGACACGCGTAAATCGAGAAATGGTCAAAAAAAAAAAAAAAAAAAAAGTAACTGGAGTGCGGTGTCCTTTGGGACATCCGTTAAAACTCAAAACTGTAACGAAACAGAGAGAGAAGATTATTAGCATGGCCCCTACGCAAGGATGACACGCATAAATCGAGGAAATGTTTCAAACTTTAAATGAAAAAGAAAGAACAAGAAGAAAGAAAACAAAAAAACAAAGGAACTGGACTGCAGCTCCGCAGAATAGAACAACAGATCTAGGACCATAAGCCATAAGGCCCTTTTTCCTTTTTCTTTTTGTCTTTTTTTTGAGGACCACAGGAAGAAAGAAAAAAAGGTGTTGTGTTTCGCTACCGTGTTCTGGCGAGGGGGTCGGAGAGAGGAGGAGGGGCGGGGGGGGGGAAGAGGGAGAGAAGGAGTATATGGTCTCAATTCATAGACTGTAGTCATCTCAGTGCAAGACAACCAGAGGCAGCAAGCAACACACACATTGAGCAAATCACCAAGTAGAAAGAGAAAACGAGGGGAAGCAGAAGGAACGAACGGACATGTTTCAGAAGAAGAAGAGTATTTCAGAAGAGCCCAACGCATAGCAAAAGCAGAATAAAATTCAATAAATGTCATCCGGGATCTTCTTTCCTCCTCTTCACACACTGCACTCAAGCAAAGGCATTTATTAGCAGAAGAAGGCTAGAAGCTTCCATGCGAGACAGCCACCAAAAAAAAAAAAAAAAAAAAAAACTCAGAATCAGATGCAGCCGGAAACCTCACATTGCAGGCAGATGCAGTGAACAATGCAGCTGCACTGAAACCGCACAACTGGCGAAGACAACACATTTGAGCGCCGTGCATAACAAAACCAAACATTCTGGGGATTGACGGAAAGTTGGAAAAGGAAGAATGGGTGTTTGTAATTTTTGTAATTGGGACGCTTGACCCTCTTCCCAGCAGGTGCAGCTCCCCACCAATAGATGGAGCCTCCCCAAAAGTGTTAGTGGTGTCTGCTCTTATCAGCACCTCTCAAGCTGTCTCCGGGGCTGTGACACCCAAAAAAAAAAAAGAAAAAAAAAGGGTGCGTGTGGCGAACTGATTGGTACAATTGAACTCAACTAAGGTTAGACTCTAGAGAGTGCTTTTTCTTTTTCTTTTTCTTTTTCTTTTTCTTTTTCTTTTTCTTTTTTTTATTACATTTCAAAGTTGACTTGGCTAGTGCTTGTTTGGCATGCTGAGGTGCTGGTTTGTCCAACCCTCAGCATGACAAACCCACTTCTTTTTTTGTTTTTTTGTTTTTTTTCCCTTGAATAATTTGAACTGTGTTACCAGCCATCAGTGTATCACTGTGTATGTCCTCTAACTTCTCTTGTCTTTTTTTTTTTGATAACACCCCTTCAGGACATCCATTAAAATGGGAACAACACAGAGAAGATTAGCATGGCCCCTGCTGCATATTCAAGGATGCGACACAGAGATTGAGAAATCGAACAAATTCAAAATAACTTAAAAATAACTTTTGAAATAAAGTTTAATAATTTAATTATTTAATAAACTTTAATAAAGACGACGTATGGTCACCAGTTGTGAAGCAGCGAGGTTCGAACTCTGTTATACATGCACACGCACGCACGCAAAAATGGGCAAGGTACATCCATGAATGGCATGAACGCAAAAGAAGATCGCGATGGATTACATATGTAATATAATTGGGCAAAGAAGGAAATAAAATTAATAAAATTTCTGCTCTTCACCGTGTCGGTAAGCTCGAGCAATCAAAAAAAAAAAAAAAAAACGTAAGCTCGATCAATCATGTCATGTTCTGTTACTATCAGAGGCAAACAAAACATACCCCCCACACAGCTATCTCAAGTTGCTGACGTCAGCTGGTTTTCCTTCGGGGAAAAAAAAAAAAAAAAAAAAAAAAAAAAAAAGGTTGCTAACACTGCCGCCTCATCATCGCATGATGAATCGTGGTGTTTGTCAAATGCTGCAGGTATGCTTTGCTGGGAAATAGCCTCAGTGTGGCAGTCGTGGAATGTCTTCTGCGGTACCTATTGCTGTCCTAAGGATTGGCGATTGCATTGTAAATGAAAGACGCGCGGAACCCCAAGTGGTTTGGTAAATTGATAAGGTCTGTCTTCAGAGACTTCAGAGAAGTTCAGACTCTTCTTCACCAGCTCATGTGGTCGTAACAATTTTGATATCTTACGCTCCGAGTCTCCGGACAGCAGTTGAAAAAAGGTTTTAACTTTTAAATGTTTATTTTATGCACTGTGTAATATACAGTATGACGCACATTGCACGCCGACCTTGACCTCAGTGGCACACCTAAGCGCTGCTGGTTTCACAACTGGTTGGGGGGGGGAGGGGGGGGGAGCACAGTGGCATCAGCAGCATGCCTTCTTTAGCATTGCCTGTGTGGTTGTTCTTACCGGCTGTCCTTCGACACACGTGGGGGAGACGGGAGGAAATGGGGGAGACTGCAGAACCTCCACTTGCGAGCTAGACAGCCGCCAGATCAGCATTGCAAGCCCATCAGCGAACCTGTCAAATCGTCAGCCGCCACGATGGCCAGTTCTCTCCCCTCGGTCAGTTAATTTTTCTGGATTGTTTTCCCTCTTTTGTTTTTCGTCTTGGAGGTGAGAGGTCCCCAACGAGCGAGCTACCGGTAGTTCTTCATTCATTTCTTCGGGAGATATTGTGATTGACTCAGCCTTGCTTGAACTGGTACGGCCCATGGCTCTGTTTTCTCTTGTTTCCCCCTGGATTTTACTCTTTTTGACTACATTTATTTAAGACGAGGGGGGCGGTAGGGGGGGCGGTAGGGGGGGCGGAGGGCAGGGGGGCGGGCACAACAAGAGGAGGGTTCTGAAGAACATGAATATTTTGGGTGGGAGTGACCACAGCTCATTCTGAGGACTGTAGTCATGACCAACTCCATCCTTTCCCAGGTTTCCCCGACAGTCGTCAAATTCTGCGCAGCACACATAAAACTTTTCTTTCTTTGTTTCTGTCTTTCTTAAGACTTGATGAATTATCCCCTTTGGTTCCCCCACCAAAGGATGCCCCACCACTTCTGATGATCTGAGATAATTCCCTTCTACTGCTTCCGAGCGCTCACCTCTCAGAAAGGTGTCGACAAGTCGTTGGTTGTCCATGTCGCCCGAATGATGGCTTGATTTTGATCGTCTCCCACATGTAGTCAGGAAGGTTGCTGCGGGTGCAAAAGGAAGGGAGCTGCTAAGTGCTGTAATAGCAGCTGTATACAGTGTATAGAGAAAAGATGTGTTGGAATCTATCAGAGCAACAAGAATATTGTCATCAGGGTGAAGTCGCTACCTTCTTCCCCTGGAATACAACTTGCGGTCATTTCCACTGCATTCGGACAGAAGGGTGAGCCAAATACGGCTAAAATCGCCGTACGTTCTATTCGGGGAAAGTCGCTAGTGAGGTGTAATATACCGACGAGCAAGCAGTTCCATTGGCTTGGATATGTCATGGAACATGTGGCGATAAAGAGTAGGCAACAGGAGGAGGAGGAGGAGGAGGAGGAGGAGGAGGAGGAGGAGGAGGAGTACAGGAGCAGGAGGAGCAGGAGGAGCAGGAGCAGAAGAGGAGGACCAGAGGAGCAGGAGGGAGAAGAAGGACTTCAAAAACGAAGAGTGTTGATATTGGAACAGCATCTTACTGAGTTGCAAATTCAGATGCAGACGCTCTTTGGCATCTCTTAGTGTTTTTTTTTTTTTGTTTTGTTTTTTTTTGGATGTTGGAATATGAGGAGGATTGATTATGATTAAATTATCCAAAATTTTCAATCGGAAAGAAGTTCAGAAAAAACAAACACCTCTGTAAGATGGCAGAGTGTGCTCGCACACGAGGAAACCGAACAACGGACGGAGAGAAGAGTGATAGAGGCAAGCAAAGCAATTATTTTTTTCCCGTTTCTCCGGCTAGTCAATCCTTACTCGTTGTCATTGCTTTCCAGTTGGCTATATGAAGGATCCTGCAGCCGACAAGGGGACGTGTTAAGTGGTGGTTGCGGGTTCTTAACTCCTTAGGAGGGGTCATTTGAATATGTAGCATATATATAATATATAATAGAAACAGTTTGTCACAGCCCCTCGTTTGTTGTCCTCTTCTCCCTCTCTGCCTACGGTTTACCGTCGGCAGTTCTATTTGTGACGATATATTATGTATCCATCTAGGCAGCACCCCGTTTGCATATGGGGGCAGTACGACTACGTACTTACTCAAAAATATGTGAACGTTTAAGAAGCACAGAAACCTGGAAAATCTGAAAATAAATTTAAATAATATGAAAATTATTCAGAAAATAATATATGTAGTATGTAATATGTATGCAAGTTAATGCAACATTATATTATATTATTATAATACAAAGTTACAAACAACTTTTACCCAGAAGGCCTAGCCAAACTCAAGTTAAAAATACAAATCATTACAAAAAATTGAAGGAAAAACGTACTCCCATGTATGGGAGTACCGATACGGGGGTTACGTACTTGTATACAGGGGTGCATGTTCTCGTGTACACGAAACCCGTGCTACCCAGATATCTATTTATAAATTTCATATCGTCATAGAAAATTGCCTTACGGTGAACCGTAAGGCAGGAAAAAAAAACTCTTACCGCCACTGGGATAGATGCCTCACAAGAGGGCCCCGAAAAAAAAAAAAAAAAAAAAAAAGGAAGGAGAAAAGGACGAGAAACGAGCGACTGTGACAGAACGTTTCGTCGGAGTTTCACCTGTATGTATATGTACAGATATGTTGTGTGTGTAACTGTGTGTGTGCGTGTGGTGGTGGGGGGGTTG